GCATCCTAAATATGGCCTTATTTGACAATTTTTTCCAAGTTCGAGGCCCTATCTGACCCTTATCCCCACATGATATTATGGCAGAAAAATTTGTTTTCATCGACGAACTGCCAAATATAATGAAAGGGGCTGCCAATAATATGTTTATTTTTTTTATAAAAGATAGTATTTTTTTTAAGTTGGGAATAATTATTTTCGCAATAAGGTGCCATTTTCGATGAAAATCGGTGGTGGTGGCACCAATGGTGGCGCCAGAAGTGATGGCAATGATGGTGTCGGACATGGAGGTGGCACAGGGAGTGGCAGTGCCGGAAGAGGCGGCTGTGGCAATTGGAGTGCTGGAGACGGCCGTGGAACCTAGAATTTTAGAAAGCTTTTTTATTTTTATTTTTAATTGTTAACTGTAAATAGTTTAAAAAAATCATTTAAGGGATAACTTTGTAAACTCGGTGCATTTTTAATCCTATGAAACATGAAAGTCCTATTTATGCGTTTTTCATTGTTTTAGTTCTAAATGAAATTAACTTTTTCTATTAGTAATCCTATGCGATTTTATATTATCCTATTTAAAGAATTGTCCCTACTTGATGGAGTCTATAATTAGTAATTACAAGTCCATTCGAGTTGGTCCAACTCCTGAAGACCGTACGTAGCATGAATCAAATTTCGGAAGCAAGAAATGCTTTTACGTAGTTGTACGGTTGTACCATTACCATTGAATTCCACAGGCACTGTTTAATTACTGCAGTAATTAATTTATTCAAACAAATAAAGATAGAAAAACTCAATATAGTATAAAAACTTACGTTAGTACTAAAATTATATAGTATCCTCAAGAACCATACTTTGTTTACATCATGAACTAATGAGACTGAGAGACTGAGAGTATTGCAATTGAACTACTTAAAACTTAATTAAAAATTATATTAAAAAACTAATATAAAAGGATAAAACCATTATTTATAAAACTAATATAAAACTTAATTAATATAAAACTAATATAAAACTTAGTTAAAAAACTAATATAAAACTTAATTATATTTAGTTGGAATAATGACTAACTAATATAAAAGGATAAGACCATTATTTATAATGAGCCTAACTAATACTACCTCCGTAACATTGGGATGTTCCCATTTGAAAAGTAGGTAGATTAAGAATAGTGAAAGGAGATATGTATTATTAGGGGTATGATGGGAAGATAGTGAAATAATGTGATGGAATGAAGGATAAATCCAAAAAAAAGTAGGTGTAATAGTGTATTATTTTTAAAATTATTGAGGGTATAATGGGAAGAATTAGAAATGGGAAGATATTAATGTTACGTCCAAATAAGGAAAGTGGGAAGATATTTACGTTACGGAGGTAGTACGTAGTATAAAAGGATAAGACCTGACTCAGCCCAAATATCATTAATTGATCGACCCCAGAGCAGTGGCGGACAGAGGGGGTGACAAAGGGGGGCTGCTGCCCCTCAAAAAAAAATTAAGTATATTTATCCCGAAATTTTTAATGTATATGTATTTGTATGTATATTTTTGTACTGCCGCCCCAACAACCGGAAATTCCTGCGCCCGCCCTGCCCCAGAGGCCTAAACAACGTGTCTCATGGGCATTGGATTGTGCATATCTCTTTCTGATACCACCCACCATCGCTCAAAGGCAGTTTGATACTTTCTTTCATTCAATTGCTTCTCTTCATCTTTATACGTGTGCATAAATTAGACTTGATGAAGAACATGCTCAAAAAAATTCACCAAAAAATTCTACTGGGAAATACCTGAAATGCCCTCGGGCCGGCAGGCTGGCAGGACAGGAATAGGACACTCTCTCTCTCTCTCTCTCTCTATATATATATATATATATAGATTAAAAAATCAGTTTCCAACGAGATATTTTTCCAAAATCCAACCCATAATCTTCACTAGCATTTCTGGGATCCAACTCATCCAAACGGCCAAACACAGGTTATGTTTGGCATGCACTTTCAGCTCATAATGGGCTGAAATTAGGGTTGTAAACGAATCAAATAATTTGTGCTCGATTCGCGATTCGAATTCGTATAAAACGTTTCGAATTCGGAAAATTCAAATACAAATACAAATAAGAATATTAAATTTTATTCGAGTTGTTATCAAATACAAATAAGAATATCAGTGTATTCGATCCGAATATAACAATTGTAATATTAATATCAATATTAAATTTATTAATAATAATAGTAATAACACTATAATAACTTTTAAAAGATAGAAATATCCTCAAAGTGTAGCCTATATATACATTTTTTCATACAGATTCCAAGCCCATTTGTAATAAACCAGAATATAAATACAAATACAAATCATTTTTTTGGTTCAAATGTCTTTCGAATACAATACAAATAATTATGTATTCGATTTGAAGAATAAAATCGGACTTGTTTGACTTTGATATATACAATTATCAACTTATTTCACACATTATAAGTATAATTTCTAATACATGTGTGTTAATGTTTATTTCAAAAATTAATTCACTGTATTGTGCATCATCTGAAAATGCATTGATCCATTAAATTTTAATTCTAAAAACACATTTTCCATTAAGTCATAACATGCATTTTCGACATAAAAAATACGGAATATAAGAAAAGTTATTTTAAAGTGTTATTTGGCTAATTTTTAACTTATGTTCAAATCGATTCGATATTCGTATATGATTCGATAACTATTCGTATGGTTAAACAAATAAAAATACAAATCGAAATTAATATTCATTTCATATTTGAATTCGAATTCGTATTCGAAAAAATTAAACAAAAACAATTACAAAATCTCATTATTCGACTCGATTCGGTTCGCATACAACCCTAGCCGAAATTCTTTAAATATAGGTAAAAGTAGCTCTATTTGGATAGAAAGCTAAATTAAGCTTGAGCTGAAAAAAGTGGGCTGATTCGCAACGTTAGCTTCCCTAGCGTTTGTATCCAGCCGCTTAAATTATTAACTCACATTCCCCAATTATCCCCATTTGTTACTTATACGTCCTTTCTCTACATGCGATCATCTCTTCAAACTTAGGCAGTATTTCTCTGAGAAATTGATCACAAGAAAATATAAAGAGAGAAATTTTGAATGTTCTAGCCTCCTAGGTAGTATTTGAAATTTAGTAAAACATACCCGTACTTGAAATTTTGTAGAGAAATTTTGCAGTTGTCCTAGCCTCCTAGGTAGTATTTGTGATTGATCTGAGCAATGAACAGAGAATGTTCTCCATTTCTCATTCGCACAGTGATGACAAAACGAGGTGCTCCTCCCTTGTTTTTATAGGTTCTGTAGCATTTTACAATATTTTTATACATTTTTACGTATACTAGGGAGTATATTTTTTATATTTACTAAAGTATACTTCCTCCGTTCTTTAATTCTTGCAACATTGTGATTTTTATACTATTCACAAACCTTACTTAGACCATGTTTTTCTACTAATATATATAATCAAATTATTACGTATAAAATGTTATTGAATTTCCAAAATATCAACTATTTATAATGTTTACTAATACATAATTAAATATAATTACAGTCACAGTTGTGCGTTGGTAAACGTGAAAGTCAAACTGTTGCAAGAATTAGGATGTTTTTACTTGGACTGTAATTTGCTGGTCTGGTCTGGTCTGGTCTGATCTGGTCTGGTCTGGTCTGAACTGGTCTGGTCTGGTAAGGTCTTGTTTCTTTGTATTTTTATAACTATCCAAGTCTGGTCTGGTCTGGTCTGAACTGGTCTAGTCTGGTCTGGTCTGGACTGGTCTGGGACAAATTACAGTCCAAGTAAAAACATCCTTATAGAACAGATGATAATATGTAGTATAATTATTAGGGATTTAGGGGTATAATTTATATTTTCTTGAATTAATTAAAGTGTATGCCCTTTAATGTAATTTCCTACTATTTGAGCATTTTTCTGCTCTTTTTGCCAAACGAAACTATTTTATTCAGGTATTAATTCAGACTCAACACTTCAAAATTCAGCTCCAGATAATAATCTTTGATTCAGACAACAGCCCCTAGCTTCAGCTCGTTGTGCCAAACATAGTCATAATCATATACGAAGTATGAAGTACTTTATAATGACTACTATACAATTAAAATAAATACTTCCCTCCCTGGCACACTATTATTATATGACTACCGTTTTGGAATTCGGAGTATGAACTATGAAGTACTTTACAATGACTATCAAACGATTATTAGATTACTACTATACGATTAAAATATATATGCCACACAATAAAATATGCCACGATTATATGCCACGATTAAAATATATATGCCACACGATTAAAATATATATACGATTATGAGTATGTTTGGCATAGTGGTGGACCCAATTTGGGCCACCCGGCCCGTGAACCGGCCCGGCCCGCTTCTGTGCGGGATCAGAAGTGGGCTTGGGACCGGGACCGGCCCGATCTGGCGGTCCGAGACCGGGTGGTGACCCGAACTAGTGGGATAGCGGGGGGCGGGCACGGCAAATGGGGACCCGGCCCGGTTCGGGCCCAATTCTATTTTTTCATTATTTTTGGGTTTCCATCTGATTGGGCTGTGTGTTTTGGGAGGGTTTGGGGTGGGGGGGTCAAGGGTGGTTAGGAAAGCAAAAAAAAAAAAACATTCAACCCGGCCTGGCCCAGACCCGGTGGATAGTCCGGCCGGTCCTAGGTCTACCCATTAAAACTCAAAGGCCCGCAGGGCCTAAGCCCGGCCCGGGTCCATACCTAGTTTGACACAATTAGTTGAAAAGATACTTTTACACACCTTTTTAGTAACTGTTATTTTTTAGTGACTGAAAAGAACTTAAAAGTAAAAGATAGTAGTTATTTGGTAAAAAGCTGACTGTTTGATTTAGCTCTGTTTGGTACAGAAGCTGTTGAGACTAATTACTGCTAAAAGTCACAGACTTTTTCAGATGCTACTCCATGTAGCATCTCACAAAAGAGTTTTTTATTTTTTGAAAAACTTTTAAAATTGTCATAACAAACATACATTAGGAGTTTTTAGAGATTTTTTAAATAATACAAAAGCTAGAAGGCATGGACTTTTGCCTGCCAAAAGTATCCTATATTACTATTACACCATTCCACCAAATCCACCTTCCTCCTTGACTCTTGGCCTTTCGGTGCTAATTATATGAATTCACTATCTAGCTATTGGAATCTCAATATTCATATTCACAAATATATAATGCCATAATGGTCATAAGCAAATTCTATCCAGCAGCCATATCATCAGAATCCAAAACCTCCCTGCTTGTAAGGACGCCTTCATCCCATATCTCAAGACACCTATAGCACACACATATCACTTAACACCACGAGAGGTTTTTTATTTTATTTTTTAAATCCACACAGCATAGAAGAAAATACACGTGTATAACAAACAATGGAGGAAGATGTATATATGAACAACTACGAGGCAGCACTTTTGGTCCAAGTATGGGATTGGCATTACGGTTTCAAAAAGCACTCCTTAAAAGTTCTTTTTAGAATTGCAGTGGAAAGTACTTATTAGAGCTATAAGCTTTTGATATTGAAGTTGAAAAAGCTAATCTGGAAGTTAAAATAAAAATATGTAATTATCATGCAAAAGTTATCTTGGGTTGAATGTTGCCTTACAAACTTGCGGTGGTGTTTGGCATTTCAAAACAAAGTTTAGGTAAAACTATATAGGGTAGTTTTTTTACGATTGCTTTCGGGCACAGAATGGGGATTTTTTTCATCACAAAAGCAAATCCCAAATAGGACCTTAATTGCATAAAAAGGGGTGTCCGTACTAAATAGGTTAGGGAATTTTTTATGAAGCAACCCTCAGGTTTGTGATATTTCTCACACTGATCTTCACATTAATTAATACTAACCCGAGGCAGCTTCGCATATCCCTTACTGTAAGAAGCATATGAAAGTCATTTTCAGAAGTTCCACAAACTTGAGTTATCTCAGCATGAGAGTGTCTGTATGTGCATCAAATTATCTATTCTCTCTTACCCTAGTCCAATTCCTCTGCCCACACTAAGTGTCAATGTCTGCTCCTCTTAGGATTTGACTCTTGGACGTGCCACAAGTTCCTTTCGGAGTTACACTAACTTGACTTTATTAGTGCTGGACTGGTGGTTTTGGCTGTTTGGAAATGGATGATCAAAGATCTACGGCCATAGCTGTCAATGGCGAGATATGGGCAGTACTAGACCCGTCCCCGGATTCCAGTTCGACCGGAACCGAAACCGGCGGTTTTCGAACCAGAATCGGAACCGGGGTAGCTTACGGTTCGGAACCGACGGTTCTAGATAGCGGTTCGGTTATTCGAGTTTCGAGGAACCGGAACCGGCTTTCCGGTTCGGAACCGCTTTTTAAAAAATGTTAAATAAAAATAAAAATAAAAATTAATTAATTAAATAATAGTATTGATAATAACGATACTAATATCAATATGTGGTAGTAGTAGTAAACTAGTAGTGATAGTTGTTTTACTTGATATGAAAATAATACTCCGTAAATAATTATTTTTAGATATAACCTTTTACACATTACTAGTTATAAGACCCCTTTTATTACAAATTATAGTAATAAGTATACAAAATTTACTAATTACTAAAGTATTTTAATTATTGACTTGTACATTCATATAACCTAATTTATATCAATTTAGTTGTTGATTATCTAATTATTATACTTCATTTTAACAATTGTAACTACTAATTATACCAACAATTTTTGGGAATTATTTTATTTAAATAATCTTATTACATCATACTTACTCTATTTTAAAGAATAACTAAACTTTTAAATATAAAAAATAAAAGTGTATGATTATTATATCTTTAATATTTTAATTAAATACAAAATAAATACTATCAATGAATAAAAATAATAAAATACTCCCTCCGGTTCACATTCTCCTTGACACTTGGGAAAAAATGCTTGACTGACGATAAAGCAACTCGATCCCTGTTCACACTAAGATTATTTTTAGTAAATAAAATTTATATATTCAGAAACTACATTGGAACCGCTACAAAGCCTGATCAAGAAAATTTGAATTCGATAAAAATTTGATATATAAAGTAAAAGATTAAGAGTGACTTGAGTTGACCAATGAATAGTAAGTGTAAAGAAGAATGTGAACCGGAGGGAGTAATGTAAAAGAATAAAAACAAAAACCGGAGAATCGGCCCGGAACCGGAACCGTCGGTTCGGAACCGGGCTAGAACCGCTACTATGCTGTTCCGGTTCCGGTTTCATAGTTTTTGGAACCGCGAACCGGAAGTTTGGTTCCGGTTCCGGTTCCAAACCGGGGACAAGTCTAGATATGCCATTCGTATATGCGCCATTGGCATGAAAAATGCCTTTTCTCCATGGAGATCGCCATGCGCCATGACAAGCTTGTCTACGGCCGGTTACTGTTTCTTACTTTCTTTATTGGTGAATTTTTTTGTTTCATAGTAGAGTAAGAAATAAAATGTGGAATCTTGAGTGAGTGCGATGACATAATCCCCATGTGAGAGGTTACATCAACTACTAAATGAAACTAAATTCAAAGCACTAATGTATACATTATATGTGAAGGCAGAAGAACAGCTAGGGTGTTTATTTACCAAAACTCTAAACTGGGTTCGGGTTGAGTATTATCTTGGTAACAAGTTGGTAACAAACCCCACATACGCTCCAGTGGGAGTTAGTTATTGTAATTCTAACCCTAATCCAAATGCGCTTAGACCATTACTTATCACCGAGTCAACCCACGATTATACTTTAATTCAGAGATGTGATCTAGCAATGTGATATTGAATTTCTTAAATGAAAATTCCATTCACTTCAGAATATGACATTTTAGCTACACTAACGCAACTTCATTAAAAGTTGTTTGATTGTTTCATTGAGAAAAGTGTATGGTTGAGAGCTGGTATTCCTTATATGTCTATTAAAGATTTGCTATATGTATTTAGCTGCATGGAGTATTCGGGGAAGTAGAACATTAATGGTAAATTAACGCATAACATACCTTGTTCCATCAATGATTAAATTAAGAAACTGACCATGCCGCCATCCATCTTTGAAGTGGCCAAATGATACATCACCATTCTTGCAATAAAAACGCCCTTCTCCATTTGCTTTTCCCTTCCAGAAGTCAACAAACCAGCGATCTCCGGTGTGAAAGTAAACCCATCCCTACATGCAATTAAGTGATAAAAAATCTATACTAAACCTTTATGAAAGTAAACTGTGAATTCCCCACATGTGAATGAATCTGTTCTTTTAGTGGAGGTGGGGTAGGGCTATGGGGGCAGGCTATATCACTTGCACTGATGCGATGGTCTTGATGACATAACTAAGGGAAAGACACATAGATGAAATGATAAGCATTGTTGAAAGAAAATCTAAGGTTAGCAGCAGTCGTTCTGACAGAGGACACGGACTGATTATGGTAGTCAGGTAAAATTCGCATGTAATTAGCAGAAAAAAGCATTGCTACCTTCCCGTGAATCAAATCATCCCTCCATGAACCGCGGTAGATGTCACCATTACTAAAGTACATTGTGCCAAGCCCTGACCTCCTTCCATAGCGCCACATGCCATCATATACGCTTCCATCTATAAGAGACAGACGTCCCTACACAAGTAGTAGCCTTTTCATATGAATACACTCCATCAAAAAATAACCTCAGCAATACATTTTCAGCAAGACTCAAGTACCTTTCCTTCAGGAAGTCCTCCTTGGATGCGTCCTCTGTATATGCCTCCCCTGTACTTCAGTTCAACTACAGGAATCCACTTCTTCTGTGTATCTCGTTCAGATTCCTGAAAAGAGAAGGTATGATTGCTCTTTTACTTCACTTGAGGAAAAGTACGCTTCCAAAAGAGCACTACTTTGAAAGAACCAAATTCCAAAAATAAGACAAGAGTCCAAATAAATGTGAACCATGGTCGAATCAAACACATAATATAATAAACGGTATAACATATTGCTCTTCTGCACTTTTGTGCCTTTCTTGTGTGAAATATATCATCCCTGAGAAAATATGATGGGAGTAAAAATTAGTCTGTACTGAATCAGCTTACTGTACTACAGTGTAACAATTCAAAGAAAGCATGTTTCTCTTTGAAAGTGTTTGCTAATGAAGGAAAGAAACTCATGTTGTTATAATTATACTCGGGTTTTATCCCTTGGAATAAAACATACGATAGTATATACCAACCAGCATTGAGGCTGCACGAACTGAGAGAACTCCCTTGTTCTTCGAAAAATTGTTCTGATCTCCTTGTGTTACTATTGTAGCATGGTTGTCCACTACCAACATAGACTCACTGTCAGGGTTCATTCTATACCAAGGGATGCGGCCCTTATCATCCGGAGTTTGTGCCCTTTTAATTTCATCAGTCATCCATTCTGTCCAGTTTAAGGAGTTTGAGGCAGTTGAACCATTTTTTGATTGCTCTAATTGTTTTACACCCACTGGGAGTCTGAATGTTCTGCTAACATCAGATTCATAGGTTTCCAGGTCATCAGTGCCTTCTTTCACCCCGCCTTGTCGGATTTCAAATCCAGGATGTAGGTTTTGCCTTGTAAGTAGCTCTCTTCTGAAAGTTGGAACACCTCCTGCAAAAGTAGAATTGCAATCACTTCTGTTCTGCAAATAAATCATTCAGTTCAGTGTTCTGAAGCTCTACCGACTCCAAGTTCTCATAATTATAATGTTTTAACACTACCTGGGGAGTTGAGCAGTATACTTTCAACAATTTTCATGTTAAATGCTCTCTGACAATTGCGTACTAAGTTCAACATAGCAAGGTCATCTGTTTCCTAATGGACTTTCCTTCTGTAACCTACCTTTGCCTATATTGCATTCTAAATGCATATACAACATCTTTTGAATAACTCATGCTACAATACAATCATTTACACAACACCAAGCAACAAGCCCCATCACCTCTCTACCCTATTCTTATTGGTACTTCATTGTTTCATTACACCTACTTTGTGCCTTAATGACCACCTCTGTGGCCATTTTTCCTTGGCAGTTAGTTACCAAATAATAGATCCACAAGCAAATAATCTTTCATATGATTATCATTGAAAGAGAAACAGCGGTGTAATGTTCCAGCTAATCTTGATGTCTTGCGCTGCATTCATAGCCATGTCTCAGCATTAACAGAGATGTTTTTTCAGGTATTGCACATGAACAGATGAGTGGGGGATGCAGTATGAAAGTTTTGGTCTTACAATAAAATATTTGGTCTCAAATATAAGACAATTTAATATTTGTTTTGTGATTAATGGGAATGTTGTGGTTTCCCACACAAAATCATACCTATTTGAAGTTAAAAAACTAAACGGTGGAAACTGAAAGCTAGTGTGTATGCAGAGATGACCTCTCAGCATTTGACATTTTTGCCAACTATAAAATAGACCAAAATGGCTCTTTGACTTGATTTTGTACCAGCTTCCATCCCATGTTACGGCAAGTGTCAATGAGGTTACAGCTCAGGGAAAATTTGTGAAATTAAATCATCTATATAGGAATAGTAATGTAACAACTCAGCGAGATTTTAAGGCACAGTGGTTTAACTTTACATATTCATCACCACATTAAATACCTATTTGATGATTCCCATAGTAAATTGAAACTGGTGTAAAGTCAACAGTCAGAGCATCTGTTAGGGACCTACATAGAATATTAATAAATAGAATAAGTTGTAATAAGTGTTTTGGGGGTTATTAGATAATGACTATAGCTGGTGTGGCTGGAGGTCGATAAATAGAATAAAGCGGGTATGAAAGAGAAAGCGATTATGAACTGGTAAACTGTACGCTAAGTGATAGTTGCCTTAGGCCATTCGGCCATTGTTGCCTTTTCTTGAATAAGAAGTTGCCTTTGAGTTCTTGGATTCTCTTTAGTTAATCTGTTAGATAATCTGCAGGTTACTAACATTGGTATCAGAGACAGGTTAATCGACGTTGATGGTTTGGACGCGAGGGAAGATGGAAGCCCGAGTAGAGGAGTTGGAGAAGAACCACCAAGAAACGAAGGATATGTTGTCGACGATTCTCGCGAGGCTGGACGCGAGAGACAAAAGTCGATCGCGGAGTAGATCGCACGCATCAACTTCATCGCACCATACATCGCATCGTTCATCGCATCATCACTCCCTGCGATCGTCTGACAGTTCCGAAGGATCGGAAGGTCATTTGGAGTTCGCTCAACCACAACGACGTCACCATCACCAGCAGATGCACCGGAAAGTTGACCTACCTTTGTTCAACGGTGGAGACGCTTTTGGATGGCTTGTCAGAATCGATAGGTATTTCCGACTCAACAATACACAAGAGGAGAAGATAGAAGTGGCAGTAGTAGCTATGGAAGGCAAAGCTCTAGCAGTAATCCAATTTTTACACCTTCTGATGGGAAAAATAGTAATGACAACAAGAATGTGAAGACTGGTGAAGGTTCCAGTTCCGGAAAAATAGGCCCCAGATTATCCCAACAAGAATTGATGGAAAGGAGTAAGAAAGGATTATGTTTCAAATGTGGGGAGAACTGGAATAGGGGGCATGAATGCAGGATGAGGAATTTCAAAATGGTTCTGGTTGAACACTCTGAAGAAGAGGTCGACACTGAAGTGGATTGCAGCAGTTCTGAAGAAGAAGAGGGACCTCACCCTGAACTAAAATCAATGCAATTGTCTGTAATTAGCAAGGAAGGTATAGATTCTGGAAGAACTTTTAAGATGGTGGGGAATTTGAAGTGGGCTGCAGAAGACAAGAGGGTCAATATTCTCATTGACAGTGGTGCTACCCACAACTTTATATCTCGGAGATTAGTGGACAAGTGGGGTATTCCTTTCCATCCAATCAAAGGATATAGGGTACAAATAGGTAATGGTGAATTCATATACAACAAAGGCAGATGTATGGGATTAAAGCTGATGGTGCAGGGAAATGAAATCAATCAAAGTTTCTACATCTTAGAGCTGGGAGAGAATGATGTGATTTTGGGATTGGAGTGGTTAATGCCATTGGGAGACATGCCAATCAATTTCCAAAAAAAAAGATCCTCATATGGAAGCAGGAGAGTCAGAATTGTTCAATTAGAGGGGATAAAACACTAAATGAAAAAGATGTTTCTATCACAATCAGTGCACAGATTCTGCAACCAACTGTGGATGGGTATCTACTGTGTTGTAAAAATAAAGAACAGGAACAGAACATGGAACAAAAGATTATTGATCATATTATCCAGACCAAGGAAGGTGCTGACTTTGTATCTCCATGCACGAGAGGTGGTTCAGTTCCTGTGTTGCATCACAATAGCAAAGAGGTTCTGGAAACATCTGTGAGCTGGAAAGATCAATTAATGAATCTTTATATCAGAAATTTGTGGAATATTGGAAAGGCAGGAGTGCCAGGATGATGAAGAAGCAGGAAGTCTTGGCTGTTACCTTTCGCCCACCTTGAGGGCAAGGTGGATGTTAGGGGGGGAGATTTGTTAGGGACCTACATAGAATATTAATAAATAGAATAAGTTGTAATAAGTGTTTTGGGGGTTATTAGATAATGACTATGATAGAACTATACAAGATTTTAACAGTAATTCTAACAAGAATCAGCTCACACAAGAGGAAAGAATGCCAGAATTATACTGAAGGTAAAATGTTCATGTACAGAGTCCCAAAGTAGAGATAAAACTCTAACTTCCCAGCCAAGACAAAAGTGTCTCCAAAATCCGCCTACCCCTTCCACCGCATTTTATTCTATTTATATACAAACTCCCAACTGAAAGTAGTTACAAGCATATAACAACTAACTATTTCTTCCTTCTAGAATAAACGTGGCTGAAGTATTTATCTCCTCTATTAGAGCTGCCGGTGTCTCTATCAATACTCCCCTGCTGAAAAACAAGCTTGTCCTCAAGCTTGAGTTCTGGGAACTGTGCTCTCACCACTTGTGCATTTTCCCACGACCTTTCAAACTCTGGTAGATCCTTCCACTGTATTAGGACTTCTGTGATATCATTCCTCTTCCTGATATCCACCACCCTTTCAGGCACTACTTGCAACTCCCAATCTTCATTTAAACATCTGGGTAGGGGTTGACATTCCAGATTGGTTGTTAGTGCCTTCTTGAGTAAAGAAATATGGAACACAGGATGTATCAAACTGTAATCAGGTAACTTCAGTTTGAAAGCCACATCACTTATCTTCTCAATAATCTCAAAAGGTCCATAAAACCTGGGACTGAGTTTCTGATTCAATCTTTTTGCTAAACTCTGCAATTTGTAGGGCTGAATTTTCAGAAATACTTGATTTCCCACCTCCAGTTTCAGTTCTCTCCTATTCTTATCCGCTTGTTGCTTCATCTTATTCTGAGCAATAGCCAAGTTTTCCTTTAATTCAGCCAACATCCCATTCCTTTCAGCAGTTAATCTGGCCACTTCTTCTACCGCAGTAAGTGTAACATCCCCTTTTATTATGGCTGGTGGTTCCTGCCCATACAAAGCCTGAAAAGGAGTTTGTTTCAGAGATACGTGGTAGTTGGTATTGTACCAATACTCAGCCCATGGTAGCCATTTAATCCACTCCTTTGGTTTCCTTCCCGTAATGCATCTCAGATATGTTTCAAGACACCTATTCACCACCTCAGTTTGGCCATCAGACTGAGGGTGACATGATGTACTGTATTTTAGTTGTGTGCCAGCCAGTTTGAATAACTCTGACCAGAAGGAACTCAGAAATATGCTATCTCTATCACTCACAATGGATCTAGGAAATCCATGGAGTTTCACCACTTCTTTAATAAACAGATCAGCCACCCCTTTAGCATTGTAAGGATGTGCCAGTGCTATGAAATGTGCAAATTTTGTTAACCTGTCTACCACCACTAATACAGTATCCTTGCCTTGAGCCTTAGGTAAACCTCCAATGAAATCCATGCTCACATCTGTCCATATCTGCTCCGGTATGGGTAAAGGCTGTAATAAGCCTGCAGGTTTTAATGCTTGATATTTATTTCTCTGGCAAATATCACAGGTTTGTACATATGTTGCTGTATGTCTTTTCTCATGCCTATCCAGTAGAATAGTGTAGAAATCCTCTTCATGGTTCTGAAATTCCCTGAATGCCCTCCTGTAGCTGAATCATGATAATTTTGTAGGATCCTCTTTATTCTGGGAGACTTCTTGGGTAACATCAACCTGCCTTTATAGTATAATAATCCCTTCTTCAATTTAAACTCAGACATCTGATCAGGCTGACTGGTTATCTTCTGAATTATCTCAACACACTTGGGATCTGTCATTAACTCTTCTTCTAGCCCTTCCCACTCTTGACACTGTACCACAGATAGAGCTGTCAAGTAAGATTTCCTTGAAAGAGCATCAGCAGCTTTGTTTTCACATCCCGGCTTGTATTTTATGGAAAAACTGTACCCCATGAGCTTGGCAATCCATTTTTGTTGATCATTTCCCATAATCTTCTGCTCAGTTAAGTATTTTAAACTTCTCTGATCAGTATGCACTTCAAAATGTCTTCCTAGCAAATAAGGCCTCCACTTTTGAATGGCAAAGACAATTGCCATTAATTCTTTTTCATAAACTGATTTGGTCTGATGTTTAGAAGATAATTCTTTGCTCATGTAAGCCAAAGGACCTCCTTCTTGCATCAAAACAGCTCCCAACCTTTTTCCAGAAGCATCAGTCTCAATAATAAAAGGTTTGTTGAAATCAGGAACTCTGAGAACTGGTAGGGACATCATAGCAGTTTTCAGCTCTTCAAATGCTAGATCAGCTTTTTCATCCCACTTAAATCCATCCTTTTTTAATAAGGTTGTCAAAGGTGCAGCAATGCGACTATAGTTCTTCACAAATCTTCTATAGTAGCCTGTCAAACCTAAGAAACCCCTTAACTCCTTCAAATTCTTAGGTCTAACCCAGCTCTTCATAGCCTCAATCTTTTCTGGATCAGCAGCTACCCCTTCAGCAGATATAATGTGCCCCAAATAATTCAGTTGTTTTTGGCCAAAGGAACATTTCTTCTTATTAGCCACCAGTTGATTCTCTCTTAATGCCTCCAGAATAAACCTTAAGTGTTCTTTATGATCATCCCTAGTCTTACTGTATACTAGTATGTCATCAAAGAACACAAGGGCAAATCTTCTTAAAAAAGGTCTCAGTACCTCATTCATAAGAGCCTGAAATGTAGAAGGTGCATTGGTCAGCCCAAAAGGCATGACCAGGTACTCATAATGGCCTTCATGTGTTCTGAAGGCTGTTTTATGAGTGTCCTCTGCTCTCATTCTAATCTGGTGGTAACCGGATTTGAGATCTAGTTTGGAAAAAACTGTGGCTCCACCTAATTCATCCAACAGTTCCTCTATGACTGGAATAGGAAATTTATCAGGCACAGTTATTTTATTTAAAGCCCTATAGTCCCCACAGAACCTCCATCCCCCATCCTTCTTTTTGGCCAATAGAATTGGGCTGCTATATGGGCTGTTACTATGCTTGATGATCCCAGAACTTAACATTTCACCAATTATTCTTTCTATTTCATTCTTCTGATCAAATGAATACCTGTAGGGTCTCAGATTTGGTATGCTTGCTCCTTCCTTGATGTTTATTGCATGATCACAATTTCTTGCAGGGGGACACTGCAGCTGAGTGGTGAAAACTTCTGGAAATTCTGAGATAATGCCATCCCAATCTTCTTCACCTTTTAATTTCAGTTCCTTAACATCCTTCTGTCCTTCACAGTACATCAAATAACCATCACCAGTTCCTTGTAGAATATGTAGCATGGTTCTTAAAGGTATCTCCAGATTGTTTAAAGCTTCTTCCCCTTTTATCATATGGTTCTGTCCCTGCTGTTTCCATTTTATCACTTGATTCTGGAAATTCACTTCCATATTGTCCAACTGAGTCAACCACTCCATGCCTAATACAATATCAGTACCACCCAACTCCAACAAATAGAAGGTCTGTTGAATTACAGTACCTTGTACTTCCAATTTCACTTCATTGCATCTGCCAATATTAGGTATGAATTCCCCATTACCAATTTGTACCTTATACCCTTGAGTAGGGGTAAAAGGAATCTTCCATCTGTCAATCAAGCCTTGAGCCATAAAATTGTGGGTAGCACCACAATCAATAAGAACATCCACCTGTTCCTCTCTTTGCTCCCATTTTAATAACCCTTTTACTCTGAAAGTTTTCATAGAGGGAATACCTTCTTTACTTAAAACTGATAACTGCATCGTTTTAAGTTGTCTGATACCTTCTCCCTCCTCTGCAGAATCATTTACCTCCTCCTCGGATTCATTTTCCCCTTCAGACTGTTCCACTAATATCATCTTGAAGTTTTTCATCTTACAAACATGCCCTTTTCCCCAATGTTCTCCACATTTAAAACACAAGCCTCTCCTGCTTCTGTCTAACAGCTCATTCTTGGATAGTCTGGGGCCTTCTTTCTTCCCATTCTGACTTTTATCTTCATTCATAGTTCGATTTTCTCCTGATCCCTTGTTCATAGTTGCAGAAGTAGTGGAATAACTTCTCCATTTGTTGCTATCGCCCCAGTTTTGGTTGGTCTTATTCAACCCTTTCCTCCTTCCTTCTTCTCGGTTCTTGATAAACAAGGATTCATTGTTCTTGTTCTCTATTAAGATAGCAGTATCCATCACCTTTGCCAAAGTCCTTGCAGAATACAGCTTAAGTTCAGCTTTAATGTCCCTCCGTAATCCTTTGAGAAAAATTCCTCTTAACACTTCTTCCGTCAAGTGGCCTTGAGAAGCTATGGCAATCTCAAACTGGTCTCTATATTCCTGTACAGATCCTTTCTGTTTCAGATTGAATAAGGGCCCTAAAGGATCCTGTACCATATCAGGCTGAAATCTTTTTGATAAGGCATTCGTAAAAGTTTCCCAGTTCTGATGTTGAGCCTGCCCTTCCCACCATTGGAACCAACTTAGAGCTTGATCTTCTAGGGCCACGACCGCAACATCAATCTTATCATCTTCATCCGTTCGGTTCAATCGAAAATACCGATTCATCCTTACCAACCAGCCGAAGACATCTTTTCCATTGAAAATCGGTAGGTCAATCTTCCTTCCTACCGGTTGATGGCGCTTGTGATATTTGTGTGGATTGCGATTGATAGGCGATACTGAATGATCAGAATTATGATCCGATTCTTCAGAATTGTCGCTGTGCTTCGTATGACGATGGTGAGCAGTATGTTGCGAATTAGTGGAGTGATGCGATCGACTCCTCGATCGATCGGGTCGCTTGCTCTGCAAATCAGCGATGCCCGCCTGCATCGCGGTCATCATCGCAACCATCGTATCAAACTTCGTCTCCATGTCGTTCATTCGCCCCTCCATTTTCTTTTTACGCGTTCCAACCATTCACAGAATCAACGTGCTCTGATACCAATTGATAGAACTATACAAGATTTTAACAGTAATTCTAACAAGAATCAGCTCACACAAGAGGAAAGAATGCCAGAATTATGCTGAAGGTAAAATGTTCATGTACAGAGTCCCAAAGTAGAGATAAAACTCTAACTTCCCAGCCAAGACAAAGTGTCTCCAAAATCCGCCTACCCCTTCCACCGCATTTTATTCTATTTATATACAAACTCCCAACTGAAAGTAGTTACAAGCATATAACAACTAACTATTTCTTCCTTCTAGAATAAACGTGGCTGAAGTATTTATCTCCTCTATTAGAGCTGCCGGTGTCTCTATCAGACTATAGCTGGTGTGGCTGGAGGTCGATAAATAGAATAAAGCGGGTATGAAAGAGAAAGCGATTATGAACTGGTAAACTGTACGCTAAGTGATTGTTGCCTTAGGCCATTCGGCCATTGTTGCCTTTTCTTGAATAAGAAGTTGCCTTTGAGTTCTTGGATTCTCTTCAGTTAATCTGTTAGATAATCTGCAGATTACTAACAGCATCATCCTTGATTGATTCTTTATTAGATGAGACACAACAGGAAAAACAAAAAGCTACTCCACCGCTGAAAAAGACTGCCCTTTGACTTGGCAGACTTGTTAAGAAAAGTAAATAGTACAGTTAAAATTATCCAGGAAAAAAAAATGACTGAACCACACAACTTTCTCATTAAAACACTTCTATAGAAAATAAGTCTACACATGCATATAGTTGTAACAATGAAAGGCATGTAGATGGAAACAAATGATAAGTCTGCAGCTTTTGTAATGCTAGAGAATATTTGAACATAAGATAATACAGAGTATTTAATGATCTAGTATGTTTACCAACGAGAGCTGAAAAGTTAATTACAAGAATATATTTAAATAAGGTATAGGCTCTCATATAAGCTTTGTCAAATAAAGTCATATTATTGTTAGCTACATAATATCATTAGCTATAATATGGGGTTTGAGCTTAACACACACACACACACAGATTTTTCAATAATTTTTAAGTTTCTCTTCGTTTATGAGCAAATTCTCAATGGTAGCATCATAATTGCATGAGCAATCATTTAGACAACTAGTGACTTCCCAGATTTTAGCCAATAATAGACCATGTCCGTTAATATTGACGAGGAGTGTTTTCAGGTAAGCCGACAACATTATTGTCAATTATTAATATCATTCAAACCCACCAATTAATAAAGAAGTATACCTTCAGTATTGATTACATCATCAATGACAGAAAAGTCAGTTGCAGAGAATGCAATTTTGCTTTGCACAGGACCACTTTCACAACCCCTATAGAGTACAAAGCAACAAGGTTATTCCCCGAAAAAATGAAATGGTCTATGCATAAAAGAGCCACAAGGCCTGAAGTGATTTCAAGTGGGTTGAAAGAGTATTACATTGAGAGAAATTTTTCTTCACCCGTGATGTGAGATAGCTCTTGTAGTTCCTTACCAGAAAATGGTACATCCTCAGCCTTACATTGAACGGGCCTCATACCATCCATGGAATCCATATAAGGCATTTCAGCAGAATGAGGATCAGGCTTCTTGAAGAAATTAGAAATGAAGGGGAAATGTTGGGCCAATCTAAAAAGTAAGCTATTCCTGTATGATGGTTGTTGCACAATGCACCTGATCATGCATACATTAAGATCAGAATTAGTCCATATGAAAATAACAAGTTTTCCAGGCCACTCAGATTAATCATTAACTTAGGAGAGGAATTAGCAGACACAAAAGTAGTACAGCTATTCTGAAATCTAGGAATGGAACTTCTTCTTAAATAAGTTAAATCTTACTATCTTACCAAGACATATTACAGTAGTCAGTATCAAATTAGCAGCCACATTGGTGTAACATCTAATATGTTGTAACATTCCATAAGTTTGTCTTTGATTATTCAGTACTAACTACACCACTTTCATCAACAAAATAACAAGTTTTCATGACCACTCAGGCCAATCATTAGCTAAGGAAAGGCATTAGCAACCTAAAGAGTAGTACATGTAATTTTTATTCTATGAATGGAACATCTTCGGGATAAAATAGTTCTTACCCACACACAATTAGAGTAGTCAGTATCAAATTTGCATCCATGTTGACTTCATGAATAACTGATATTACAAGTTCCCTCTTCCATCCAGTTGTTTGCCGAAAAGTTTGGCAGATGATGTTCACATCATGAGAATCAAGTGCACTGGAACTTGCAATAACACATAAAATTACACCATCTGATTCCTAAGAAATAATATATGTCAGAGAACAAGGAGATCAAGAGTGGAACCCTGAGAGATTGTGAATGACATAATTGATAGAAATTATTTGCTGACACGTATTGTTATGTAATTCTGAAAATTAAAAAAAGTGTTTAATGCTTTTGTTTTATTCTATCATGTCTAGTTTTTATGCTTCGAGTGCAATGTCACCGAAAAGAACAAAAACAAATCTCTGCATTAAAATATCAGACACCTGTAAAGACACTCCAAGGAAGGGGCACTCGTATGCAGCTCGCAAAATAGAGGTTTTGATGTCGTAGCCAACACCATATCCAATTTTTGCTTCTCTATAGCCCTCAAGAATCTGTAACAGACAATCAGATGTACATTAGGTAATAAAAGCTTCTGTTATACATATATACACAAATACACTGCATTTACACACAAAAATATATGGCAGGGCGAATTAAGAAACATAAGATGGTGAAATTGTAAATTATTTACATTTGATAGATGTGGCACTTTGAGTAGTTCAGAGCAATTATTTGGTAAATTTTGATACCGTGTGAAACTATCCTGTAGAAATCAGAGGTTAAGCAGTAGATAGATAAACGAATAACTTCATGGGATATAATATCGTAAAGTGGAAAGAGGCACCTAAGGTTTAGGGAAAGGTTTAGATTATCTTACAGATACAAGAGCAGATATAGCATTTACAGCCATCAAAACTGCCTTGTTTGATGTTTTCAAAGCCTCATCCAGAGTAAGAAGTTCTTTTGCTAGAAGTGCATCAGTATCAATAACTGCAAGGCAAGACGACCACACATTCAGAACTCAAGCCATCTCAAATTCTGCACCAGTGAAATATTGAAAATATGATCATGAACGATCTTGTTGATCACACCACACATGCAGAAATACGTGAGTGAGTGATTAAAATTTAGAATTGATGAGCACAATTCAGAAAATTGGCCAGCAAAATAACCATGCATCAAGGTTCAAGATTGACTAGTTTAAATATCCAACTGGTGGTATATGTGGTGACATGTTACCTTACCTATACAAAAATTAGCTTGCTTTTGTAGCTCATCAACCAATTCATTCATCTGCAGACATATTCAGCTATCAAAATAATGCAGTAATATCTAATGATGTAGATTCATGGTCACAATAGGAGATAACCAAATACATTTAATAGTAGGAGATAAACAAAAAGCAAATAAAAGGATTGGATTGACCAACTTAGCAATCAATTAGTTCACTGACAATACCAGTCATCAAGATAATTTAGTGAAATATTTCGAAGGTTAGAACAGGAGATAGCCAGATGCATTTGGTGATATTCGTCCCTTCTGATAAAAGTTGATGTAAACAAAATATTTAGGTGAAATTCATAAGAATAATCCTTACTTTCAAGGGTTCTACAATAATAAACCCTATTGAGAGTGTTCATAAAAATAATCCAAACTAGCAATGATGTTTAAAAGAATAAACTGCGGTGAATGCTCATTTAATACTCTCAACCCCTACTCCCACTTTCCCTTCCCTGTTCTCCTTCTCAGGATGAATTCAAACCAATGCCCGTTTAATTTGAGTGTCATTTCCATCATATGAGGTTCTTTCTATAGGTTGGAAGATAGAAGTGTTACCCGAAACAAAGAGTGGTGAAGGAGAAAGTGGGGGTAAGGGTTGGGAGTATTAAACGGGCATTAGTTTGAATTCACCTCAATTTATTCTTGTGAATAGCTTTGCTCGTTCGGATTATTTTTATGAACACTCTCAGTAAGGATTATTATTATAGAATGCCTGAAAGTAAGGATTATTCTTATGACCGGAGCCTTAGTGTATTTTTATTGGACATAAATCACAATGAGCAAACAACAAAGAAAATGGAGCAATATCAACATTTAGTTTCTTTAAAGTTTTCATTCACATTTCTAGTAAATGCTCGGATCTACCTCATCCTGCCGCCTTCGTCCTTCAAAGCAGAAAGGTTTCAGGATTATTCCAATGACTAGTCCATCAGCAGATCTTACTCTCCTAAGAATATCAAGTGATAAGACGTTATCTCCACCATAAGCTGCATTAGCCACCTAAAGATGAAAGAAAAAGAATTTTTGAAGCGTTACAAAATTGCAGATGAGATATATTTACCACATGTTTAAGCAGCACAGATAAAATTTCCAATTTCTTGATAACAAGTGAGTACAAATTCTCAAGATCAACAGAGTAGATGAGATCACCAAAAGATGGGGGGGAATGAAAAACTAGCAAAAGATGAGAAAAAAATCATTGAGGTGTTAAAATTCTTAAAATAAAACTCTGCTGGTGTAAAGCTTCCAAACAGTATTGGGTTAGAAGCAATAATGCATGGTTGGAATCACACTTCTGGTTTCTAATACATATATATTTACAAGAGAATTAACGGACCTACTCATGAGATGTCAAGGAACAAAGACAAATGAAACAATTTACGGAAGAGATAGAAAACTACTTCTCCAGTCTACCGTACCAAAATAGTTGTTGATTTACATGGGTGCACACATATTAAAAATCATGTAAAAGGATTGTTCTATTTCCACTTAAGTTTAACATTACATGCAAAAAATTCAAGGCTTAATAGGACTTGATGTGGACTGGGCTTTTTGGAAGTTTGGCAGAAATATGTATTGAAATTGGTAATTACTTTGAGGCTACATTTTTAGCTAAAACAACAAATAATTTGGGATGAATAGTATATGAGAATCTGATTTGCATTACTAAACCACACCACCAGAGCATTAGCTACTAGTAATATTAACTTGTCACATACTAGTCTGAAAAACTAAAACTTTAAGCAAGAAAGAGCTCTAAATTTACAAGTGCTGGAGCTTTTGATTGTACAACAACAAAATCCAAGCCTTTGTCCCCAAAGAAATTGGGGTCGGCTAACATGAATCCATATATAAAACCGGAGTCAAACAAGTATGAAACTGGTATATGAAATTGGCCAACATGAATCAATATATGAAAGAGTTTATGATAGTACAAACAAGTATAATTGCTTTAGAGCACAAACTCAATGATGATGGCACTTCCACAACTTCTGCTATAATATCTGCAAAAAAAGAGACAATGGTTTATGGTACTTAGCTTGGTGGCCTTTCTTGGAAACATATATTATTATCTAAGCTTAATGATCTATCTTGAAAGTGCATGCATTATTATCATAGCTTAATAATTTATCTCGAAGGTGTATACATTAACCCTTCTGAAAGTGATAACAAGGATTAGATGCTGCAGTAGATATACTCCTAATGAGAAACGCACATAAAAGATCAACTGATAAAATCCAAATTAGTAGAAGGCTCCAGTTGTATATCTTTTATTAGGCCTTTTAGAGAAGATAACTCATATTCTTTGAGTGCCCCAATTGTAGATTTCAAAATCAAAATCTTTGTACGCTTAGCTTACCGCACTGTATTGAGTATACCTCCGTGGTCCTTGATTTCTGAGCAAGCCTAGCAACTAAGTGTTGAAAACTTGATACTTAAAGACCTATATGAATATATAATCTGAATCAACTTAAAACTGTGCATTTTAGAAAGATACAGTAGTTTCCTCTAGAATTTGCAAGTTATGTGGATGTGTAAATAATGCCGATTAGTCAACACTTGAAGCCATCAACATAATCTTCAATTGCCTACTACCAGTTACACAGTTCTAGTGTTCTACCAAATGATTTTGAATCAACTTATATAAACTCAAGAATGAGCACCCTTATTTTGATTATTTAGAGTAGTAGAACAGAAAGAACACCTCTGATTTGACATGTCCACGCTTTAAATTTTAATTGTCAGACCCAGCTCACACAAACACAATTGTATTACTCTCTCCATTCAAGGAAGCATCACGTTTGAGTAAGGTACAACTTTTGTTTATAGTCAACCCAATTAAGGTGCAAGCTTTTATAACTTATTCCCAGATTCATTGGAGTAATTGACTAAACCCACTTGCCACTTAGTTTTACATGAATTTTATTTGAATGTGAAAGTTGACTAGTAAAATAGGATTCTTTTTTTGGGACAAAAAGTTCTTGAACCAGAAGTCCTTTTCCTTTGCTTTTTTTCTTGAGGGGTTTACACATTTCCTTCTAAAGTACAGTATATAGGTTGGTTATAAGTAATTGATGACAGCCAAATCCAAACAGGCATCTCCTCCTCAAATTGTCTTACAGCCTTTCATTGGCATGCTACCCTCACTCCATCATACCCCACTCACAGAGTAACAAATGCTTATCAGCAAAAAAGAAGAAATGGGAAAAAAGAGTCATTGAGAGCATTAAGGATCCGACTTTTGAGCTTCTACCTTCAGTCAGACACCTCTGGTGCAATAACACTTTCCCAGAATCTTCAACAAGAATGTTCCTGCAAAACGTCAGAACAAGAATTAAAGATGAAAAGTAAGAGATAATTAGAAATAATGCATACTCCCTCTGTTGATTTTTACTTGCTCAACTTTTCTTTTATGGAAATATTATATTGTTTGCTCCACTTTCAATTTGTGGCAATTACAAATCTATCAAAACACATATATGTTCTTACATTAATCTTGTATTTCCCATTTATTCTACTTTTTCATCTTCTCCATTCTACGTTTTCATCTCATCTCCTACTTTTTCAAATTGTTATGCTATTCGCTTCACCTACAAATTCATTCTTAAACGTTGTGAAAGGAAGAGTCAGAGCAAGTAAAAATAAAGGGGGTGCATATCATTTAAAACTTTCCCCTATAAATGCAGAAACCTTAAAAGATCAGAATATCCCAACTTACTAATTCAATTTGCACAGTGAAACCTCAAACTTTCATATTCCAAATATTGTTGACAAACATTTTAAACATTCAGGGCCTTCTAGCAATTGAAGTTATGTATACTTCGTTTGCGTGCATGTTCTGTGTTCAACTCAGACTGTGGTGTATGTTCGTATAATCGTAGTTATTGTTTCATTATCACTAAGGTGTTGATTTCCCCCTAAGTAAGTTCACGTTAAAGAAACATTTCAAGGGAAATCCAAGGAAAGTGTGAATTGTAGGCCTGTAGCATACCAAAATCTCAAAGCCTGTGAACATGAAGAAGATGACAGGCAGAAGTCAATAATGGTGTCTTTTCGACTCCCTATTCCAAACACCTCAACGAAATCCGTCTCTTCCCAAATACTCCGATGAAGCATATTCCCCATTTCTTCTCCGTTCAACGAAGAGTCCTGGCAATCATTGTTAACGGAAGCCGCAACGCTCAAGCCGTGATCAGCGCTCTTACGGCAAACATCTGAACTCGGGTCAACTCGAACATACGTATGATTGTGCCTAAGCCTCGCCCAACAGTTATGGTAGTTGAGCGAACGGGAATTGATCAGGGGAGTTCTACAGGATAGGGGCGCAGCAATGTGGATACTTGCGGTTATGGGAATTGGCATCTCCATTTCTTCGGACGAATCTGCCAATACTCAAATTGAAGGGTTAAGCTTGCATTAGACGATCCAGGTATCAATCAGGGTTTAAGATACCGGGGACGACACAAGACATTATCCTCTTATTGTTCTTTTTAAACACGTATCGGGTAGAACGGGAAAGTCCTGGCCATCTCAAAAAAGCTGCAGCGGAAAAAATGTAACACAAAAAATTGTTTCTGTGGAAATTATTAAAGGGTATTCTGCCTATTACTCACAACCTTTGTAGGTTTTACTCGCTATTTGTAAGAACAGGCCCAGAGTGACCCGGCCACATGACTGGGTCACCGGTCAACGCCGGAAAACCGGTCAATGATTATACGTCTATATAATAATAGTATACATATAATTATATATAAAATTATAATAAAAATTAGTTATTATTCATAATAATCAACTAACAATACTACTTATTAAGCATTTAATACACTCTTATAATATTTCAATGTATATTTTGATCTGATAAAAATATATAATGATATTTTTATTTTTATTGTACATCTATATTATAATTTGGCATGATGTTCATTCTTAAATAAATATATAAATATATTACGTAGTTTTTCTTTTTAAGGTATTGAAATTGCAATTTTATTGTTATAAAAAATGCATTAAAAATAAAAAAGAAATTACTTTTTTTGGTAAAAACACCCAAAAACTGGGTTTTACCGGGTTTCTTGGGTCCGGGTCTTGACCGGGTTTTCCCGGGTCAGCCGAGTTTTTCCGGTTTTTGACCATTTTCGGGTTTTGAAAAAACCGAACCGGTTTTTTGTCCGGGTCACCGGGTTCCGGGTCAACCCGGCCGGGTCGGGTCGGTTTTTTAAACATAGCGTTTTAGTTGGTGCTTAATCCATCCATTTGTCCCTTGTGTAGGTCTCAAGCTGATAGTGTTGACCATCTCTTCCTAGTTTTTTCACAAATTAGGGTTGTTTTAAAATTTATTTCTCAAATTATGGTACTTTTAAAGTTATTTCCATTATTTTTTTTCCATGTTACCCTATCTGCCATGTCACCTAAGCCACATGTTGGTAAGCATTCCATGTCATCAATTCTGAGTGTGTTTTGCTCAGAGAAAAAAAATATTTAAAAAAAAATTACCGGTGGGAGTTGAACCCACAACCTCTCACTAGTAATTCAAGGCAATAGTCACTGGACTACTATGCTAATTTGATACATGCTCTCATTTAAATATATTTAACATATACCATAGTATACATTTTAACATATACGTAGTATGAGATATTTAATAAAAAAAAGTATAATAACTCAACACAAAAAATATTAAATGATTAACATTTATTTGCTTATTCAAATATGAAAATATTTGCTTAACTTTTTTCAAAACAAAAATTAATAAATGAATAAATAATAAATATTCATTTATTTAATCATTTATATATTTATAGATTCATTTATTTATTTATAAATTGACTTTATTTCAATTTTCATTATTTGATTAGCTCCATTTCGAACATTTTATTTGAACTCGAACATATAAAATACATTTTTTAATTACACATATCCATTTACGTTTTTATAAAATTTTTAATTGGGTTTTTGTTTTTAAATTGAATATCTAAAATTACATTTTAACTTATTCTTTATTTATTTGAGAAAGAATTAATATATGTACTGTTTTTAACTTATATGTACTGTTTTTAAAATATTCCCAAAACAAAAAATTATTCGTTAAAGTTTTTTACGTAAAGAATATAATGTTTTTTGAGAATTTTTTTGTTGAGTTATTATAACTTTTTTGATTGCATAGTATGGTATACGTCAAATATATTAAAATGAGAGCATGCACCAAATGAGCATAGTAGTCTAGTGGTTCTTGCTTTTATTGACAAGCGAGAGGCTATGGGTTCAATTCTCACCAATGAAATAATTTTTTTGCCAAGCAAAACACACTCAGATTTGATGACACGGAATGTTTAGCAACATGTGGCATAAGTGATGTGGTAGGTAGGGTGACATGGCAAAAAAAATACCCTAATTTAAGAAATAAGTTTAAAAGTACCCTAGTTTAGGAAATAAGTTTTAAAACTACCCTAGTTTTGAAAAAAAACTCAAACTTTGTTCTCCTATAGGTAGACAAACTTTGTACACCTTCTATACACCATATATAAAGCCCATTATATTTACCGTTCATTACCCACTCGTTTTACTTTTCTTTTTCTCGTTTCATTTTTGTTTCTCCCTGGCCACAACAGTCTCTCGAATCCCTAGCCGGCCAGAAACGCCACAACAGGTGAAGCCTTACCTTTTGCCTTCGAACATGTAGCCACAGCCACAAGAAGACGTCCATGCACAGAAGAAATTTAGGGTCATCGGACGATTTGGCCAAGTGTACAACCAGTAAAGGTTTAGTGAGTGCTGACCGGATATATGAATGCTTCTTCCCTCTCTGCAACCTCTCCTACCTGCACCCTTCCCTTCCAGTATGCCTCTATCTCTCTCTCCCTTCTTTCCTTTTTCTTCATTTTTTGTTCTTTGTTTTTTATTTCATGTGTAATACTCCATTTGTCTTGTTATATAACACCTTTTTCCCTCTTTGTTACATCTCATATCTGCCCCTTCCAGATTTGTGTGGTTGATTTTTAAAATTTTAATTCAACTATTATATTTCACTTTATGCACATAAGGTGTTTGTTGAAATGATTGAATGGATATTTATTCATATCCATGAGTTTTTTGTTCATTCTTCTATTTTAAAAATGTGTTTGACTCTTTCATTTATTAAAATAAATTTTCTGTTTATAATTGAGATATATACGTAATACTTCAATTGAGATAAACAACGTGATTACTTATCTTATATTTGTTCGTAGTATTTGTAACTCGTAATGGTCTGTTTTTCTCTTTTGAACAGCTTGAGTCTGTTAAGTTCGGCTGCTTCGCTCGCGTGCAATCCCATCTTCTGCAAGTATGTCTTTCACTCTCTAAAGTTCTATATACAGATTATGGGTTTTGGACTCCATCCAATATACTTTTTAAATTGCAGTTCATGTATCCACGCGTCAATGAAGTCTTTAGCCTATTGTCCTGTTTGTAAAGTTCCTTTTAGACCTAAGAGTTTGTACTTTTATATGCTTTTTTTATAATAATGGTAAACAGTTTTGGTTGAATTAAAGTCATGTTTAGTAACATGCATTGGCTGATTATGTTTAATGAGATATGAGCACAATTAGCATAATAAGTAGCCTCCTTTCACTTACTTATTTGGTTAGAATCAATTTTACCAAATAGTTTTCCACTTCTCCTTTCCGAAAAATCAGTAAATTCTGTCATTTAGTCAAAAAATACTTACTAAAGCTTTTCATGTCATGTTAGATTCATTAAAGTAAATGGCTTCTATTTCTAACCAAACTTCTTGTCATTTTGGACCGTTTGCTTAAATACTATGTCTACACTCATCTTGAAAGGATTATGGTTATTGAACACACTGTAAAAACAGATCCAAAGTAAATAGAATTTCCCTAAGGTATGTTATGCATCTGTACCTCAGAGATCCCTAAGCTTTGAACTCCTCCTCTAAGCCATTGTTCGAAGTAGGTGATACATTTACTTGCCTCTTGCTTTTTTTTTTTTAAATCTGCTTATAGAATTTTTGTGTCATGATGTTTGAAACATTACTTGCCACTTCAGTTTGCCTTGACTTTTGCAATATATAGATTTTATAATGCGATTTGTTATCGTGTTATGAAATTCAAATTCTTATGGAATTTCACATTTGACTATTGCAGCACACTTCCCCTGGTGACATAGCAAAGAATACATGTTACAAGTTTGTTGAATGAAGATATTTATGAATCTAAAGAGGCACATTTGACTACTGCAGCCTTGTTTTGTTTGTCGTTACTGAAATTGCATTTTTTGCGAAGATGAAGTAGTTGGTAGAAATAAAAGAGGCTCTTTTTATGATAGAGATGATGAGCCTCCATGACAAAAGCCAAGAATGAGAGATTTATAATGAATTATAGCTAAATATTTCATTCTTGTAATTAGTTATATTGTACAACTAATGTTCTTGTATTTAAAATGATAGTATATCTTTTGTTTTATGAAAATGAATTTGAATTTTCGCGAAAGATATATTGTAAGTTGGTTGAATATTTGGTAATCGTATATTCATTTTGGTATAAGTTGGTTGAAGAGCATTCAAAACATGTTATAAGTCTGTGGAATAGCATTTAAAGACAAGCTCCCCTTTAAATGATTAAAAGGGGATAAAAGATTCACTATTAATTAGAATTATTTGTGAAGAAGATATGAAATGTTTGGTCACAGACAACTATAATAGGGTAATGAAATAATTGAAATTGTCTGTGAATGGGATAATGAATCTACACACGTGATTATATGTTAATGAAGGATTAAAGTCATTTGTATGTCTGTATTTGCCACCTATTTGTCTGTATGACAAACATTTTATTCTATCAGATAGACAATTCATTTTGCTAGACAGACAACGCGTTCTGTACCCAAATAATTCGTACTGCCAAACAGACAATTGCTTCCAATAGACAGATAGTTCATTCCGCCAGACACATTATTTTGGTTAACTATTGTACTTTGTATAGGTTTGGTCTGACGAACACATGCCTGAATGAAAATGTGTGGCGCACACACGATTATATATCTTGAAGTAAACGTGTTGCACAAACATGAAATGTTTGGCACAAACAAATATTGTTTGTTAGATAGAACTTTTTTGTCAGGCCTAGAAACGAAATGTTTGTCACAGACAAGACACATATTGTCTGTTAGAAAGAAACTAGCGGCCAGGCCAATGGCATGTCATATCTAACTATTGTCTATCCCAGACATTTTATATCTTATTCACAAATAGTTCTACTTGGCATATTTGCCCATTTTTCAGTGACTATTGTTTGTGGTCAGGCATTTCATATCTTATTCACAGATAATTCTACTTAGCATATTAGTCTGTTTCAGTGGCTATTGTCTATGGACAGACACTTCATATCTTAGCATATTAGTCTATTTTAATGGCTGCTGTCTATGGACAGACACTTCATATCTATTTCATAGACGATTCCATTTAACACATTAATCTATTCCTTCTTAGCACACACAACTGTTGATCATGTCTCTGAGCACTTTGTTGAATGGGGCATGTAATCTTTAAGAAAGCAAGGAAGAGTAAA